TACCTAACCCTAGTGTGCAATAATAAATCCACACTTATAATTTTTGTCTATATGTGCATACCCTATTCTTTCAAGCTAGTCTTTTCTGGTTAAATTAGAAGAGGTAGAACATAGTGACTAATAATATGAGCTGAGAAGGAGTGAATCCGACTCCTTCAACATATTAATACGAGTTGTGCGACTTTAAGCGAATTATTTACTCCATGCTCACACATTTAATCAATAAAATGGAAGCAATAAATTAGTACCTTCCTCATAGGACTCTAGTAAAAAAAAATTTTTTTAAACCCATGTAAGGGGTTTAGAAGAGTGTCTAGCAAGTAAAGAACTACATTAATACTGTCCTTTTTGTTCTTGCAATTATTAATATTTGTCCTTCTTGCAGCTAGTTGTTGTTACAAACTCCTAGTGGGCAGGGGCCCAATCACTCATTCATACTGCCAAGCAGAGATTGATATTTAATGAAGTTCTTTTGATAATGCCTAATAATGAGACTAAGAATAAGGAGGGAAATGCCAAATAAGATCTAGGTTTTTTAAATTAAGGTAAGCAAAAATGATTTCCCTAGCAACCAAATTTGTAAATGTATTTCCACCATCATCTCAAGCTTCCTATTTATTAAGACTGTTTCCTGCTTTCGAATATTGAACACTAAACAGGAAATTAGTTTGAGGATGATGGTCTCCAGACAAAGAGAGGAAAGCAATTTCCGTGGCAAGTAACCAGACACTCTCCCTAGGAAATCTTCAGAAACTAGATACAACGAGCGTGGATCTTGCGATACTCTCAGTGGACTTCAAAGTCATTTCGCTCCTAGAACTGAAGGGCAGAGTTGCACTTCCTCATCTGAATAACCCAAATGATTATCACAATTGTATTTTGTAGCTGAAGACTGCCCGTCAGAAATGCAGAAGGATGAGACGCTGCAGTTGGAGGGTGGGTGGCTCTCTGGTGACCTCCTCACCGTGTCAGGGTCACTTGTGTACAGGAACAGCGAGGCCAGGGCACGGAGCCAGGCACTCAGCCTGGTTTACTCTCTGGCAGCTGGAGGCACAGTGCAGAGAGCCCAGGAAACACTGTATTGATGATGACGATGACAATTTTTAAAACTTCACACTAATGTGATGTCCCAACAGATGTCTGGCTGCCCACTAGTGGTTGACTAGAAACCTCACGCTTTGACCAGTTCACGGATAACCATATTTACATAACAGAAGCTGTCCAATATACCATTCATATCATCTGTGGCTATTCCACGTGGGTTGCATGGGTTGGAATCGAACACGATTAAGGTTCCAAGGAAGCCAAGAACACAAACTGTAATGTGCATTCTCAGTGTTGTGAAGCTCACCAAAGCTAATTCCAACATGATCGAACATCAAGGAAAACCGGCTTGCTCTGTCCCACCCTCACACGTACACACTCACACCGCCATCATGGCCAGCACCATCTCCCTCTCTTCACATGGAGCAGCCTAAAAATTAATCAGCAGCTTTAGGAACAGCAACAACAAAAAACAGCCATGAACTTGATCAGGTCCAAGGTAACATATAGATAGCAAGCCTGAAAATAGGGCTTTGAGGAGTATTTTTGTCAATAATGGAAAAGCACCAAAAAAGAATCAATTCTGGCTCAAAGGCAGGTAGTAGAAAAACACAAGGAAACCAGGGAAAGTTGCCAGGAGTCTGGAAAGAAGGTGCCAAAAACCAAATAAGAAAGTGAATAATCATAATATCTCACAGCTGCTGACTGCCAGCTCTGTGCTGAGCGCTGTGCATACATTCTCTTTAGATCCTCACAGGTGGACAAAGAAGCATATTATTATTATCATCATTATTATTATGAATAAAAGAGAAAACTGAGGCTCATCTAGTCTCGGTTCAAATGCTCCCTCTTCCACAGTCTTTGCTGACTTCTCACATAGAAATGATCCCTCTCCTTTCTCTGAATATTTTCATCTTTATTTCACCAATGCCTCTTGGCACTATCTTAAAGAATAGTTATCTAAATCCATGTTACTCATTTCAACAAAGATTGGTCACCCACCATCAAACAGGAAAATGCTAATATCCAACGGATATGAACTTATAGAGACAGATACTTCACTATCTTCCAAAGCGGTGAGTTCCCCTTACATTAAATAGATTTGGGAAGTGTCTGCCCAGCTAAGGTCTACATTTTCCAATCCCCCTTTCATCGAGGATAGGGAAAAGGGAAAAGGAAAGCAAGCTGTGGCCCAGCTGAAAGGTAGCTTCAGCCTGATCCCACAGGGAGCTCTGGCGCACAAATTGCACCACAGACCACAGACACATAGGTAGTTATTAAGATCACGACCTAGAATGAGATTGCTCAGGGAGACTTCAAGGATTCAGAGAAAAGGAAGAGAAAGCCACTAAATCAGCAGCCAAAGAATCAAGGGAGAACCAGGACAATTCTAACACTTACCTGTAACCAAAAAAGAACAAATACAGTGGAACCAACAAGAAGTTTGCCTCACCTTGTTTTGAACTTAATGTGTATTTGTTTTTGTATTTTAAATTATTTTTATTACTACAAAACCAATGCACTTGTTAAATGAATGGAAAGTGAAGTGCAGGACATCCCTGAATCATTTGTCCTTTTTTTGTTGCAACATCATAAGGGATGTGTTTTGTTAAATAGTTTTCTATTTCTTCATTTGTCTTTTTAATAGAAGAATTGAGTTTGACTACAAAGGCATTTGAGAGACCTGTACAATGAGTTAATAGACTAAAATCCCATCCGGGGGAGAAAAAACACTTGGAAACCTGCAGGAAAGCTGTATGTTTATTTTCATAAATAAGTATTTTATGACAAATGAATGCTAGCGATTTTACAATACCTTGTAGAAATTACAGTCATTGCTGGTTGTGGAAAATTTCTAATGTCAATTAACCATGTAGTCCAAAGAGATTTGACTCTGGCAATTTAGATGCCTCCTTTGTTGCTGAGGTTTGCTTTTCTTGCCCTTATAGAATAACAGAGATAAACTAGTCATATGCACAAAAAATACATTAATCTGCACTCTGTCATGGGATCTAAATCACACATATTTTGTTATATACCAAGAAGACAAAATGCTTGTGCTTAATTGTTTTCACTTCTAAAACATGGATGGAAAAACAAAACTATTTAATTCAATGGAATGAAAGCAGTGAAGCAGAATTTTAGTCAAACTCTTTGTAAAATTGTAAATTTATTCCTTTGGATATAGGTACACAAAATGTGTGTAATGTGTGTAACCTATCCTGTTCTTAAAGATACCTTTGTTTATCATAAAAATTCTGGACCTGTGTTTCTATAAAACCCTTTCATAAAAGAAAAAAAACATGATTTTTTTAAGCTATACCTAAAGTTTTTATCAAATAAGCAACATGCATATAAAACTGTGAAAAAAATTTCTTTACATAATAAAGTGTAATATCCATACCAAATAGAAACAGAAGTACCTTTTAATGTGTTGAATTTTTACATGATTTAGATCAAAATGTTTCTATTGTGTTTGTGGGAAAATGACATGAAAAGAATTAGTATATGAAATATTAGCAACACAACAAATAAGCGATAAACCATCCAAACACATTTTAATTATATAAAATGTAGATCTATTTACTCAAAAGAGAAACTTTTGCATTTTAGAGTGTACACTAATACAGAAGTAAAAACCTAAATTCTAATAATTAGATCAAAATGAAAATAATTTTCCTAACAGAGACATTCTATACATAGAAAATCATATAAAAACAATGAGCTCAATTTAATCTTTACTTACAACACCAATAATCACCCATTAGCACTGTATATATTAAAGATTTAAGACAAATATTTTGAAGAAAAATATAGGCTAAGATCGACTATAATCATTCTCTATTTCCACATGTCATTGCTTTTGTGACAATAACTCAAACACTCAATTAAACTATATGGATTGAGCTGATGAAACTACAGAGAATTCATTTGGTCCCATTCATAGATGAAAGCTAAGTCATTGTTGGCTTAAGTCAATGGAGCTCCAATAGTTACCTCCTGATTTTATAAATGCTTTATGGTTATTCAGTCTTTATAAATTCTTTCCTAATTCCCTGTCTCCAACAGGATGTTATGCCTCATCCAAAACATATTTTTTCCTTATCAACATAAGGGAATATTCTTTTATTCTCCATCCATGTCACCCAAACATCACTGGAAAAAACATACAAATTTCATGTGGGGAGAATAAAAGTCAGACCTATCTACATCCCATAACATTTCTCAAAAATCAAAAATCTTATGGCATTTATAAAAATGATATTTAATAACAAAGAACTGTATGTGTTCATTGTCTTAGAAAAACAGAGTAACCTTAAGAAAACGATTTCATTCCAGGAGGATATTACATTCATGCAAGAATGCCAAAATGTTTCTACACTGAACCTAAACATTATATAAACTAGTGGACCAATAAGCCAGTTTTTCATTCTATTTGTAATGCACCTAGCTAACTGGTACCAAAAAGAGTACTTGATGCATTCATGTAAATCACACACACACACATTCACAAACAGTAATAACCTTTTGACAGAGGCTGCACTGGTATGAAATATTCTGCACCTGAAGTAGACTGTACTTAAGGCTGATGACAAAGAACTATACTCTGTAGTTACTTCAGGAAAATAAGATATATGTGTCTTGGTTTTTTGTTTTGTTTTGTTTTTCAATGTGATACATCACATTTTTAAGAGCAAATGTGTCAGTAGCTTTCTTACTTGGAGAAGAATTTTAAATCTCTTAAATTCTTAGGGAACCAAAATTTAAAGCACCATGATATACCATTTCTTAGCATTTCCTCTCACGTTTTTACACATTGCTTCTCTCAACTTCACCCAAAAGAGCCTGATTTTATTAATAACGCTGTGTCTGAGGAGGCCTTTTCAATGTCTTAAAGTGTGTGAGTGCATCGGTATAAGTATTTGATATCTATATCTGTATATCTATATATTATATTTCTGTTCAGATTGGCAACAGTTCAGATGTGATGCTATTAGCAATTAATCTACTTTTTAAACTTTGCTTTTGCTACTTGAGCAAAAAAATGAACGCCGCTCACAATTTTAAATACACAGATTTTTTTCTAGGTGAATGAACTTCACCCTTTGGGTATAAGGTAGGTCATTTAGTGAAAATTTTGAGGATGGTAGTTTATGAGATATAAACTGGAAGAGTTAGCATAATTTCATATTAGTATGACTTCACAATTGTGAGCCTGCCGAGATATCTGACTAATTCTCAGCCACATATGCATGGGATGGTTCTGTCTTTACCCACCATGGCAAGAATTAACACTTTCAGAGTAAAACAGGAGGTATGATAGTATCATACTCTTCTTAGCAGTCCGGCATTCTAATATTCCCCAGAAGACCTAAGAAAAAAAATCTTAATAAATAAAAAGTCATCCTATGGCCACAGAGAAAAATAATGAGTAAAAAGATATCTTACGGTCATATTACCTTATTTTATAACAAGATGTCAATGGGCCCTCAATAGCTATTTTAACAGAAGCTTAGTCAGATAAAATATCCTTATCCTGAAAATGACTTCAGTCAAAAATCTTCGCAATGCCCTGCAATTGCTCCTAATGTTCCAATTTCACTAACAAACCAGTTGTTTACAAGTGTCTTAAAATCCAGTTAAGTTTAATAAAAGTTTCATAAAATTAAAACTATGAAATCTATGTATTCAGCATCACAAAGAATGAACGTCTCAAAGCATTATACTGGTTATCTCATAAAAGCAACGTAAGTTTTTCATAGCACCCTCTCTCTAGAAAACAATACACGAAGCCTGTCCCAGATCTCTTCCATCCACTCACATTAAAGGTCCCAGATCTGTCAGTAAGTCTCGCATAATTTGAGGAGCTAGTCTGCCAAGGAGACTACCATTCCCCACAGAGAAAACCGACATAATTGTGAGGTCAATGAACTTTCAGCAGTTATGTTAAAGTCATCCCCAAAGTGTTATCCACAATTGTAATTCTCTTAAAATGATTTCTTCCTTGGTTAGGTGACATGTTTCTTTCTTTTTTTCTTTTTAGTAATATATATGTGCAAAGTTTTAAAGTGATAAGTTATTACTCATCTCCTCAAGGTAGGTCACAATTATGTGTTGTCAACAGATGGTAAAATAGGTACACACAAGACTATGTCCCCATTTTAAAATTTTTTTTCTTACAGTTATTATGGCCTATTACCTTTGAAGTATCCTTAAAACACCACATGTCATTTTCATGTAAAATATCAGTGTTGTGCTTCATTAAAATGACTCTAAGGAGTTCCCTAAAACCTAACTAAAGCTTTATAGTATCGTGAAGAAAAGGACAGAAGGAAAAACAGGAGAAATATCTTTATTAATGAAGAACAAGAGAAAGAGAAACTCTTCATTAAAGAAGGAAAAGAGAAAGAATCACCTTGATAATTAGTTAGAATTTCTTACATTTAATCCCTTATTTTTAAAAACTATCTAAAATCATTGACTCCAGACCCTGGAATAGTGTGTGAATTTGATATTAAAAGTCCAGTGGGTCTATTTCCCTAACAACACAAGACTGTTGCTTGTAGTCCACAGTGTAGACCATTTGAAAGAGTAAGCCTACTAGTAGAAAGCACAATCTAGATTTTACACCAGAAATATAGTACCCATTTTATAATTCATTCTCCCAGATTACTATATACTTGTGTCATTCATTATCTCTTTCAAATACTGTTACATTATATTCTCTGCTTATACTTCCTATTTGTGGAAAATAATAAAATAGCTCTTAGGGGAAAAAAATACATCCATTTTCTGCAGTATTATTAAGTGCTTTACATAACTACCAATTATTTTGATTCTAAATGCTTGGTTTTGAAACCTGGAAGGGAAAAATCTTAAATTTATGATTTATGATGAATTCTACAAAAGCACTAGAAGTTAAATTTTCAAATTTACAACTCTACATAATTAGAAATATATTCTTTAATATGAGAAAAACATATTACTTCTATGTTTAAGGAAGAATAGCATCATCTCTTAAGAATCAAAAAAACTAATGCAATTACATTTTTCCCCGTACACTCCTCACAAGGCAACTATAATTTAATCAGTCCACAAAGTTGGAATCAGGAACTGGTTTCATTATGACAATTTTTAAAGTTTGTTTCAACAATTTCTTTCTATCTGATGGCTTCTAATTATACAGAAAGGAATTTGCTTGAAAGTCTAAATATATCCAAGTAGGAAAAATAAGTATTTGCTGACAACCCTAGCGGTAAAAATACCACAAGGAAGTTTTAACAGAAATAAGGCTAAAAGCAAGTGAAATTGAGCAGTCACCACCTCTTCATATAGCCTTCCCTTTTTTTCCTATTATACTGTCTTATTTTATGTAAAAAGCAAAAAAAAAAAAAAAAAACTATTTGAGGAGAATTCAATCTTTGGAATAACCAATATGGAGTTTTCTAATATAAAAACATGAGGGAGAAGGGAGGGATAGTATTGGTAAAGGTCAACTGGATCACTGAAAATCCATAGGATTTCCAGTATTTGCAAATCATCCAGGCAGGCTCAGCAACATAACTGGGTATTCCTTTATGATCCCCTCCTGAATGTGAGCCACTACAGCCACAAGCACTGTAACCTAAATGCACTTCAGGGAAGCTATGAAATACTAGTCACTAATACCCTGAAAGAATGCTTCCTCCTACCAAAGTGAACACTCTTGCATTCATTGTCTTTTTAGGTCAGCTAAGGTGTATTTTGGCTACGGAGGAAGAAAGAAAGGCATGTCAACAAGTCATGGAAACATTTCAATCTATTGCCATCACCAAATTGTCTCTGAAATTAAATTGCAACTTGTACATTCAAGAATTTATTGCTTTAAGAAAATAGTGCGTGTCTTCCTATTACCAATTCTTTAAAATTCTATGCCTTCTTAGATAAGTGCTTTAGAATAAGCTGCTATCTAATAATCTCACTTCTAAATTTATAATAAAGTATACAATAGGAGTAATCCTATTTTTTTTGATCCCTTACAAAGACAAGTGGCCAACTGTCTTCCAGTGGAAATTCTCCTCTGTCCCTCTAATTTAATTTCTGTATATGACTTTCAAAAACATACGCCATAAAAATAAGTTATTCTCCTTTAGTAGCTATTAAAAGTTAATAGAGTCTTTCCATTGGGCTTCTAATATTAAAATTCAGTAGGTAGTATTCAACCATAGCATCACATTATGTTTAACAATAACTATGTGCTTATTATTCAAGTATTACCACCCTTAATTTTTCTTACAATCCATATATTCTCTTTTTAAAACTCATCTATGCCACGACAGCATAGTCCTTGTTTTGTTCGTTGTTTTCATTTTCTTGTGGACTAGTAATTTTTACTTCTGGCCTTGGTGGTCTTTGAGGATCTAATTCAGCCTGGAGGAAATAGATCAAAACAAAAATACTTAGTTCTTTGGTTTACAAAGGTAATAACATTTACAAAGAAACGAATTACTCAATATTCTATTTCACCATCTAAATATTCAACTAAAAACAGTTCTGGGGGTTCTGTTTGTTTTTTCATTTATCATTACCCAGTGGATATACCGTTCTGAACACCTTCCTTACGAAAGCCCTTTTGGGGAGCATAATCTACTCTGTGCTTTAAAAGCACAGACTCATTTCATATGCTGCAAGCTTTATTTTTCTCATTTTTTTCTTTATTTTCCTTTGAGCTTTTCTTTTCAGTAACATATTTATACTTTTCAGTTTAGCATTTTCAGAGACAAGGGAAGAGAAAAATGCAGCAGTTATGCCCTCATGCAACATTAATCCATGCTGTCCTAATTTTCGTTTTCTCCTAGAACTCACAAATCCATTGTGAACACGGTACCGAGCACCATCAGGTGTCAAATAGAGAGCAGCATGACAGAAAGTCAAACGCGGAGGCAGCATTTCTCCAACAGCAACCATCACTCCTCCCACTTGGATTTCTCCTATGTTATTAATGACATTGTCTCATGTACAACTTGTCTTTCCCCCCGCTGCACTGGAAACTGGTTAGAGCTAGCTGGTTTGCAAACTCTGCTCCATGAAATCTTGGAGGCTCCACAGCCCCCACAAGGGCCACCAGTCCGGGAGACAAGAGCAGCTCCAGATCCCCCAAACCCCACACACCATAATTTATACTCTAAAAAAAAATTACTGAGGCTATGTCTTATTTTACGTGGTTACCTTGTGAAATGTCTCAAACAGTATCCTGTATTAATATATAATACAAGCTCAATCTCAATAAATGTCAGTTGTTTACTGTGCATTTGTCCATATTCCCCACTGGTTTCCTACAATCCTATCTCACTTTGCACAAGAACTGTTACATAAAACGAAATGCTACATGGTAAACTGAATTTTTAGTCATTTTATCAGTAAAAAAAAATCTTTCTGTAAAAGTTAATTATTAATTTCTTTTTTTTAATTATTAATTTCTAACTTATAATTCATATAACTTTGCTTTTTCACGTATTTGGTATGCTTAAAGAATACGTATACTGATACATTAAGGAGAATGGAGATAAAATATATCATTATTATAAGAAAGAAATGAATCAAGTAAGATTAAATCTCCTTGTGAGTAACTACTCTGTCTTAGGCATTTGGATTATCCTTAAAATCCCTAACTAGTCACACATCAGATACTTGCCATCTAAGTTCCCAAGAATTTGGATTCACCCTCATTATATACCACAAACACCTGTACTTCAGGCTCTTGTCAAATCATATAACCTTGATATTGACAGACGCCCAATTCCTATCAAAAACCCATATTTTTCCTTTTTTAAAAAAAATATTTATTTATTTATTTGACAAATAAAAATTATATGTATTTGTGGTATAAAACGTGATATTTTGAAATATGTATACATTGTGGAATGGCCAAATCTAACATATGTGTTATCTCATATACTTATTTTCTTTGTGGTGAAAACACTTAAAATCTACTCTCTTAGCAATTTTCAAGATTACAATACATTGTCATTAACTATAGTCACCGTGTTGTTAAATAGATCTCTTGAATTTATTCTTCCTGTCTGTTAATAAATGAAAGTTTGTATCCTTTGACCAACATCTTTCCAACCCTTACCCCTAGCCCTTGCTAACCACACCCTTCTACTTTCTGCTTCTGTGAGTTCAACTTTTTTAGATTCCAGATATAAGTGAGATCATGAGGTATTTGTCTTTCTATGCCTGGCTTATTTCACAGAACATAATGTCCTCCAGGTTCATCTATGTTGTTACAAATAACAGGATTATTTTTAAAAGATATACTGATGAAAGATGGAAGGACAGGTAATCCATTCATTTCTGCAAAACCTATTTAGGTCATACATTGAATTAAGGTAGACCATTGGAAAAATTTGTACTTAGATCTTACTATCTAGTCCCACATACAATTACACTTTGATTTCATGCTGTAAGCTTCCATCAAAGGCTGCTACAACAAACAGTTTTATGAAACCTACTATTGCCGTTGCCATATAAATGACACTGAGGACTATGTAGAACTACATATGGAGAATTTCTTATAGAAGAGGACTGTGATTATCTCACCTTGAGAAAAGATGAAATGAGAGACATGCTGAGTGCTTTCATTTAGATGTTAAGAATGCTTTGTGTAAGCCACACAGTGGATTACAGATAACTTTGTACTGTTATTGAAACCTGGCCACAAGAACATTTTGCATTTTGCCATCGCTAAACTTGCTCTCCCTAAGCGAGATAAAACAGATGAGTCAATAATAAATAATCAAGAAGACCCCATTCATCAAAGTGAGTATCAGGAATATGAGTAGACCAAGGCCCACTGAAGAGGGTACAGGCTTGAGGGAGGTGGCCCTTGATCTGCTGGGTGGACAAGAAGGGAGGGGATAGCAGATGGTGAGCATGTGTGCAGCACACTTGAGCCTAGTAACAACCAGGTCATATTCATCAGCATGGAAATTAACATATCCTATGGGACATCTGTCCCATGGAAGAACACCAGGACTTGAGAGTATCCCACTCCAGATCCAGAGGTGTGAGAACAGGCTAGGAAAAGAGAGGCTGCACTACATATTTCTTTCTTTGCTCTTTTTTTCCTCTGCCAAATATTTCTTTATCCTTTATGTATAATAAATAGAACTATATATTAACAAGTTGTTGGCACATTGAGCACTTAATTCAATTAATCCATTTAAGGTAGACTAAACAAACTAGACTTTAATACTCCTAGAAAACAAAGAAGTCACCCATAATAGAATGGTGGTCCTCAGCTCATGTCTAGATCTCACTGGTCTCGATATTCTTTTCTGGTTTGTATCTCCTCCAGTCTTAACTTATTTTTACTTTTTATTTGTTTTCTTTTATTATGTATGTTCTTAGAAGGCTCTGTAAATTTTTTGTAGAATGAGGTAGGAGAAAGATGGATGGATGAACGGATAAATGTACAGATGGCAGGACAGACATACGGACTACCAGGTAGATGGCAGTACTTGTTAACTGATTAAAGTGAGTATTGGTCGTGAATGAAATGAATTAAATAGTATTGGATCTCTCCTACTCAACCCTAAGTAATTTAAATGCAACTTCTAAGTACTTAAATTCCCTAAGTGCATGCACATGTGCACACATACATTCATGCATGCACACACATTCATGCACGCACACAAAAGCAACAGAAGTACCTCATCTTGTTCGTTACCAGCTCCTTGAGACTTTCTTTCCTCCTCCATGGCTGGTTGAAGCTCATTATGGGCCTGGTCCAGTTCCTCCCCATTTTCTTCATCGGTGCCTACGTTGACACGCAGGGGAGCTGCCTGCTCCTCACTGTGGTCCAGGATCTCCTCGACTTGCTCGGGGGCGTCTGCAGCCTCCCTACCTCCTTCATCTTCAATGTCACCGTTCATTCCTGAAAAGTCTTCTTTCTGTTCTGCATCCTTGTTTGCTTTCTCTCCGTCTTCTTCCTCATCTACTATTTCTGCTGGCCTCTGATGGACCAAAGGGAATAATGAATAAAAGTAAGAAGTATAACAGAGATTTTCCACTGCACATCAAAGTAATGTAATAATTATTATATTACAGTCAAGTAAAATGTCCTATATTTGCATAGTATTTTACGGTATATAATGTGCTGATGTTTACTGAGTACCTACCATATGCCACACTTCGCAAGTATTTTCTCACTTAATCCTCACAACTCCTGTGAGGTTGGCATCATTCCCCTTTTACAGATGAGAAAACTAAGTCACAGAGAGCCAAGTATCTAGCCCAAGGTCCCACTGGAAGAGCCAGAATTTGAACTAAACATGTGACTCTAGAATCTGGGAAACTAAATAGCAGGGTCCTTGGCTACTGTCTTGTGAAGCGTCTGGACCAGAGGAGGAGGTAAGAAAAGTTCTTTGTGGACAGATTACCATTCACAGAGCTACATGTGATAGTAACAGCACCTGGATTTGAACTCAGGTTTTCTGACACGGAATGTAGACAGCTTCCACACAATGTCGAAAGGAGTTGTCAGCTTATCTCTAAAAATCAATTGTCATGCAGACTCAAGGCCAAGAAACTATATGTCTTCTCCATAAAAATAATAATTGCTAAAATATTTTATAAACTCTAATTAAGCATTTTACTGTTATTTAGACACACATAAGTCTTCTTTAAAAGAGAACAGGAACCTGAGTTCTGAGTTCTTAGTTACAGAGCCAAGATTTTGGAGAAAGACCTAGGTTCAGGTCCTGGCCAGGTTCTTACTGGCTGCTACCTAAAATCGGTGAGTTACAGATTCCCCATTTATAAAATAAGAATACAATAAAACTTCCAAGGGAATTAAATGAGTAAAGCACCTGGCACATTACAGATCCTAAAAAACATGGAAATACTTTCCCATTTGTTATGATACATTTTTCTTTAAATTTTTTAATGGAGAACCATAACTTCAGCAACTGGGATTTGAACTCCTGGGTTCAGCAATCTTCCCACTTCAGCCTCCTGAGTAGCTGGGACTATAGACGTGAGCCACCGGGCCCGGCTATGATACATTCTCTCCTGGAGCTATTATCAATAAAATAAGTTTTTAAAATGTTAGGATAAAAAGAATACAAGATTTGTTCTATGTTAGGGTCCCAGACCTGTCACTTTCTAGCTCCCTGACATTGGACAGGTCACTCAATCCTCCAACCTCTGTAAAATGAGGGTTTAAGACTCAATTAGCCCTGACCTCCCTTCCAGCTCTGGAAGTGCATTCTCTTCTAACTGACCAAACAATTTTGCTGTGGGATGGTTAATAGTCTTCTTATAAAAGTTAACATAATGCTTTCACCCTGGGGAGTAAAGAAGGAAGAAAATGAAAGGAAGTAGACTAAAATTCTAAAATAAAGTTCCACACAACATTATTTTGAAGAGTAAAGAGTTGGAACTACTAATTCTGATATTCTGTCAAAAATAAAGTCCCAAATTTAATTATATGACATCAAAGATATACTTTAAAAATGAAGGAAAAGGCCGGGCGCTGTGGCTCACGCCTGTAATCCTAGCTCTTGGGAGGCCGAGGCGGGCGGATTGCTCAAGGTCAGGAGTTCAAAACCAGCCTGAGCAAGAGCGAGACCCCGTCTCTACTATAAATAGAAAAAATTAATTGGCCAACTGATATATATATAAAAAAATTAGCCGGGCATGGTGGCGCATGCCTGTAGTCCCAGCTACCCGGGAGGCTGAGGCAGAAGGATCACTCGAGCCCAGGAGTTTGAGGTTGCTGTGAGCTAGGCTGACGCCACGGCACTCACTCTAGCCTGGGCAACAAAGCGAGACTCTGTCTCAAAAAAAAAAAAAAAAAAAAAAATGAAGGAAAAAACTAGTTCCTCTTAAGGTATTGCAAAAACCATAGTGCTTGTCATCATGTAGATTAAGTAACACAGTGAGATTGAGTTGTTCAAATTTTCATTCAGATGCTATTGTCAAGTAGTGGAGAATCTTAGCTATGTCTAAGCATGTCACACAGGGTGAGGCCCTTAGGAAGGTGGAATGCTGGACAGAAATTCAGAGTGGGAGAGGGATGGACCTCCCAGATGGTGCTTTAAGAAAAGGCAAAAGATTTATAAAATGTAACCCACAATGCTTGGCAAGGATTTCTGGTCTTTAATGTATGAGAACCAAATGACTGAGGGTAAGAAAAGACTCCAATCTCTCACGGAGAGAGTAGTATTTTCCCATCTCCCCACCAGACCCTTGTCTCACCCTCTCCAAAGAGAACAAGCACAGCGGGGCACTGAGGCACACACTAGAAGTAATAAGGGGAGGAGAGTCTGGCAAGGGAGGGGAAGGCATTTGCATCATAAAAACAGAGCAGAGGAAGAGAAGGATACATCATACATGAAAATCAGCTGCATTTCTATAAGCTAACAATGAACAAATCTGAAAAGAGAATTACAAAAATAATTCCATTTACAATAGCATCAAAAATAATAAAATACTTGGGTACTGACTAAACCAAGGAGGTGAAAGACAGGTACAATGAAAACTACACAACACTGCTGAGAGAAATTAAAGAAGACATAAATAAATGGAAACACATCCCACGTCCATGGATTAGAATACTTAATACTGTCAAGATGTTGTACTTCCCAAAATGATCTACAGATTCAATACAATCCCCATCAAATTCCCAATGATGTTTTTTGCAGAAATAGAAAAACCCATCCCAAAATTCATATGGAGTCTCAAGAGGCCCTGAATAGCTAAAACAATTTTGAAAAAAGAAGAACAAAGCTACAGGACTCACACTTCTTGATTTCAAAGCTTACTACAAAGCAACACTAATCAAAGCAAGTACAGTACTGGCATGAAGACAGACAAATAGACCAATGAAATCAAACAGTTTCCAGAAATAAACCCTCACTCATATGGTCAAATGATTTGTGACAAGTATACCAAGACCATTTAATAGAGAAAGGACAGTCTTTTCAACAAATGGTGCAGAGAAACTAAATATCCACATGCAAAAGAATGAAGTTGGACCCTTACCTAGCACCACAGCCAAAAACTGGCTGAAAATGAATCGGAGACCTAAATGTAAGACCTAAAACTATAAAACTCTTAGAAACATAGGACAAAAGCTTTATGACATTGCATTTGGCATCTGTTTCTTGGATACAACACTAAAAACACAGGCAATGAAAGAAAAAAAATTTTTAATTTTGTGCATCAAAAATTATTATCAACAGAGTAAAAAGGCAACCCACAGAATAGGAGAAAATATTTGCAAATCATTTATCTGATAATGGATTAATATCTAGAATATACAGAGAACTCCTAAAACTCAACAACAACAAAACAACCTGATTCAAAAGTAGGCAATGGACTTGAATAGACATTTCTGCACAGAAGATACACAAATGGCCAATAAGCACATGAAAGGATGCTTAACATCACTAATTATTAGGGAAATGCAAATCAAAACTATAATGAGATACTACCTTATACCCATTAAGATGACTACTACTAATATTAAAAAAAAAAACATAAAATAACAAGTGTTCATAAGAATGTGGAGAAAATGGAACCCTTAGGCACTGTTGGTGGGAATGTAAAATGATACATCCATCTAGAAAACAGTATGGCAGTTCCTCAAAAAATTTAAAACAGAATTACCATATGATCCAGCAATTCCACTTCTGAGTACATACCAAAAAGAAGTGAAAGCAGGGTCTTGAAAAGATATTCCTACACTCAAGTTCATGGCAGCATTATTCACAATAGCTAAAATGTGGAAGCAACTCACATAAAATGTGGTATATACACACAGTGGAATATTATTCAGCCTTACAAAAGAAGGACATTCTTAAACATGCTACAAAATGGATAAACCTTGAAGCCATTATGCTAAGTGAAACAAGCCAGTCGCAAAAAAGACAGATACCGTATGCTTCCACTCATATGAGGTATATAAAGTAGTCAAAATTATAGAGACGGAAAGCAGAATGGTGGTCGCTAGCTGGGGGAGGGAGAATGAGGAGTTACTGTTTGATGGATATAGAGGTTCAGTTTCACAAGATGAAAACAGTTATGGAGATGGATGGTGGTTGTGGCTACACAGTGTGATGAATGTATTTAATACCTCTGAAGCGTAACTTAGAAATGGTTAAGACGGTAAATTTTACATTATGTGTATTTCACCACAAAAAGAAATAAAACAAAGCAAAATAAAACAGAGCAGAGGAAATGAACTGAGCCAAAGATTACATTTCTGCATCGTTGAAGAGCAAGGGCTTCTAGGAGTGCAGGAAGGGGCCCGTGCCAGGAGGAAGAGGGGCAGACAGAGAGGGGACTTGTGAGGGGGCAGCTCAGAGAAAACACTATGGATAGCTCCCCACTAACACATCAGAAGAGGTGAGGGAAGGGCCTGAGGTCTCCTGCCCAAAGACAAGTTCCGCTCCTGGGGACTCTGCAGGACCTGGGGGAGATGGTCACTGAGGGACTGTCAGCTACCATGACTTCAGCAGTTGGGCCTAGGGCACCTGTCTGTGTTAAGCAGTACTCTGAGTGCCAGGCTTTCAGGGACAAGTGCTGGCACCAAGGAGTGCAGGGCACAGTGGGCAGGAAAGACTCGTAAACGCTGTCATATTATGATGTGGCGTGAGGAGAGAAGCAGTAAGGCAAGTGTCAGGAAAGGGGCACTTCAGAGTGCGGTGTGGCAGCCTGCTGCCCAACCTCGCGTGTTCTGGCTGTAAACAGAGACTTCTACAAGGCCGTGTCAACAGTGTTTGTGGGTGAAATGCAACAGGTGAGAAAGGGGAGGGCAAGCAGAAGTGCAAATGCCAAGAGCCTCTTTCTGTGCCAAACACACACTCGCACTCACGCTCACACACTCCTCATTTCACCGACCCTCACAGCAGCCCTCTGGGCTCCTTTTTATGCCTGTTACCGGAATAAGGAAAATGAGAAATCACTCAACACCTCCACTATCACGTGGCAGGTGACAAGTGGTCTTATC